CATGCAGGGATTTGACATGAGCAAATCCGCATGTGAGGCATAGGAATGGAGTGTTTAGCGTCGCCCGTATCCAGCGCGAAGGGCACGCAGCCCTGTCGCAGATGTGGAAACACGAAAAATATGGGTTTGTTGGTTGGATCTGAGTTGTTTTGGTTTGTAGCATATGTGGAGAAGATGGTAATGGTTGTGTGTATTTTGAAGAGTGTTTGGTTTGCCGTCGTTCATACTGCGTCGAATGCACCGGATCCCATCTGAACTCCGAAGTTAAGCGGCGCAAGGCCCGGTTAGTACTGCGGTGGGGGACTCCGCGGGAATCCCTTTGGGTGATGACGGCCTCTTTTCTTTTTAATTTACACAGCTCCCGTGCACACATTTTTTGCACGTTCCGCTTATTCCTCCACCAACCGTATCCAGCGCGAAGCGCACGCAGCCCTATCGTAGCGAAGTCGCTGCACTGCGTTGTTGCCGCCTCATTCCTCTCTTCGTGGAACCTGGATTCCAGTTCTTCTTCTTACAGTAAAGGATGCAAATGCTGTTGGGGATGCTAGGGGGTGCATTCTCATATCGATTTCCTGCAATCGATTGCCAGCCGTATACCTCAGTAGTGTCTTGCGGAAGCAGTAAAGCTCGCTCATTACTTTTTCTTTCACGAGATGCCTAAGACTATTCCCTGGTGAGCTAATCTAAAGTGTATATTTCTGTACGTCACCTTACCACTGTTCAATATGTCAATATTTTTGAAATATTGAACAGTGCTACGTTGATTCATTTATATGTGAAGTGACTACGCAAATCACGCACTATGATTTTGCCGGTCGTCGTCTCATGCCTACCATCAGCGATACATAATCGCAGAGACTGTGGCAGGGAATGGGCCGGTGGGCTGTATCGCCTTCCCGTAGTTCGAGATATCCGATTCGCTTTGCATCCTCTGTCAGCCAGAGCTGAGCCGACGATTAATAGAAACGGACAGGTACGGAAATCAGTCGAGGCGGATCTGCATGTGCAACTGTCACCTCTTTTGGCCACGCGGCTGCGTCGCACGGTACGAGCGAGAAAATTGCTTTTTGGATTCCTCTGCTTGCCCTGCTTCAACTTTTGTATCTCCAGTTCCATCGCTATTTTCACGCTCGTGCAACCCCCCAAAGATGTGACCTTGTTCGGTTTGTTCACGGGAGCGCAAACCCTAATTATTTAATCTTGTTTAGTTTAAGCAAAGCAGGTGCGCCTCTCGGTTAATTTGGCCGCTACGTCTACACTTTTAGATAACAAGACATTAAACCTATGGCGTAAAATTTTACGGCGTATTACCTTTTTAATTAACGGCAGCCGCTAACTCGCCGAGTTCCGACGATTCTCAACTATTTTAAGTATTTTGTTTATTCTTATTAATTCAAGCCAGAATTTGTGCTTGAGACTTTCCGGTTAACAGCAGAATGCCCTACCTGAGTGCCGATTTGCCCCCTGCCATCTGTGCTCCCTTGTTGTCTTTTGTTGCTGGGCTTGTCTAACATTCAGTCTCAATATGCATAAGACCTATATGCGGGTCATACCCAAAGCATTTTTCTTCCCTCTCAGCCAGTGCGGTAGAAGCGGTGCTTCCTGCCACTCTAACGCAAAAATGCTCCGTCATCTCAGCGAGCACCACCCTTTCTCCCCTTACTTCCCACTCTCCGGCCAAGGTGGTTACGGATTGTGTAGCAGGCTCTGTCTGAAACTGGTACATTATACATGCGCGCAGAATGCTTATTGTAGGCTAAGCAAGCATATAGCAATTATTTGGCAGCCTGCCTACCGGAAGGCAGACCCTGACCAATCTGCATGGCTCCACCAGGGGAAAGGAAACTGGCCGTTTGAACCGGAACAGACCTAGAGAGTAACTACATATTTTGGGCTCCTTTTTCGCTTGCATTGCGCCATCACGAGCAATGCCACTCACCGGCCAGGCTCGCTGTGGCGATGATACTTGCAGCTACCTCCTACCGTCTAAACCCTGCGGCGCTTCAAATTGTAAAGAGAGCCGTCCACGTTTGACCGTCACGAGTTGCGAAGGGTCGGCAAGTATAAATAAAGAGCAGCACTAACTGAAACAAGCTGACTTCTTCTCTAGTCTCCAGGCATCCTTTGCGTAGCGCTACAAGGGCTGTTGCCGGTAAAGAAGATAAGGCTTCCTGACCGAGTTGCGCTGCTCCTTGTTGCAACTGCTCCTGCACGGCAGCCCCGCGTGCAAGCATCGCCACGGCCCTTGTTGGTGCATTGACAAAGACTGCAGTTGAGAGCTGTGGTGCAGGCACGTAGCCCTCAGAAGTCACCTTGCTCTTAAGCTGAAGGGCATACCGCAGCAACTGACAGGCCTTGCTGCACACAGTCCACGTCGTTTTACGATCTTCCCACTGCGGCCCTGCACAACGAAAATTGAATTTCCAAGGCGCTAAAATGAAGCCAGCTGATCCAAGTGTGCAAAAGTTAATAGGTGATTTGGTGAATTTAGCAGATACGCCCCAAATGTGTGTAGAAGGAAAGAGCAAAGAAGATCAGCATAATTAGTCTTTCAGGTGAGCGGGGGCTGTTTGCTGGTGGACCTGGGGCTCTATGCAGGTTGACGGAGTGCGCATGCTGTGAATAATTGTTGAATGTGTTAAAAAAAGCATTTCCTGTAAAGTTCTCCCGAAATAAAGAATAATTGAAGGTTTTTGAGCTTCGCTCTCGTGCGCTTTCCTCCGGACACCGAGCTAGTGCTTGCGGCGCGCCTGTGAACAACTTGAGGTGTATTTACACCAAAACGCTTTTCGGTTTTATGGCTGAAAAAGAAGAACTTGCCGCCTTCGTTGTTGTATTTTTGACAAAACTGTTTGCGAATTGAATTTCAGGCAGGCTTGATTTTGTTTTTCTTTTCTCCGTTAACTAACGTTTCTCTTCTAACACCGAGGTTGAGTGCTTCTACTTGTACTTTGTTTTCGTCTGTTTCTTTTGTTTCTTCGGTGTTATGCGTCAATTCTTTCGTTAGTTTCTGGAGGTTCTGGTCCCGATGTTGCAGGTTCTCTGGGAATGCCGCTGTCCGGTGACTTGTCCAGGCGATTTGTTGCTGGTAGTCGGCAGCCACGAGAAGCTTGGGCGTTGGGTGCCTGAGTTAGGGGTGGCCCTTTCTACAGATGCTCTTTCTTTTCCTCTTTGGCGTTCAGCAGAAATAAAGTTCGAGGGGCCGCTGACGGTGGAGTACAAGTTCGTAATTCGTCGTTCCAACGGCGCCATTGAGTGGGAAGGCTTCGCTGTAAACAGAACTGCAGACCTCCGAGCAAATGCCTTTTCAAACATAGAAAATGTATGGAATAGCCTCGCTACCTCCTCCATCACTTGTTTCCCCCTCAGGCCAGCCGACCCCAAGTTCCCTGACGATACGCGCGCATTGTTTGGTGCAGCAGTTCACCCTCAGGCGGCGAATGCAAAGTTTGAGCCTGCTGCTGCTAATGCTGCCGTCGACCCTTCTCCTTGCGCCGCATCAGCAACAGCAGCTGCTACTGGTGATGGTGTTAGCCTGGGTAACCCTCGAGAGGCGGAAGCTCACAAAGGCGGGAGTGGGGGCCCCCTGCCCTATTCCGAAGCGGTGTCTGCTGTTGCTGCACACATTGCGGCAGCAGCAGGACCGACAGAACCTGCAGATGAGGCGGGGGGAGGAGTTGTGAGAGTCCCCTTAAAGCGTTCAGCGTTTATTCTGGCGAACTCGGGGCCGATTTCAGACTATTACATAATGGACAAGACCATTGGTAAGGGAGTGGAGTGCTGCTGGGGTGTACGTAACTGCACAGACACCCCAGTGGCAGCACGCTGCTGTCTGCTGCTGCCTGCTGTTAGCAGGCGTTTGTCAGTTGCTGCTGGTGGTTGTTTCTACTCCACTTGTTGCTTGCTTTGTGAATGCTCGCTGAGGGACTCTATTGATGCAGGAGTGTATGAATTGGCTATTGTCTGTTTGGAGTGTACGTGGACAGGACGAGGGACTTGGGGGGAGGTGAAGTTGGTGGTGGATAAGCAGACGAAGGCGCGGCGAGCAGCAAAGAAAATACCCAAGTGTTACATAGAAGATGTTGATCGCTTTCGACAAGAAATAGATATAATGAAGTCCCTAGATCACCCCAACATCGTACGGCTATATGAAACATTTGAGGATGTTTCAGATTTCTATTTAGTGATGGAATACTGCAGCGGTGGGGAGTTGTTTGATCGCCTTATTGACTCGGGTGTACTGACAGAGCGCACCGCATGCAGCATCATGAAGCAAGTACTTGCAGCCGTCGCTTACTGTCATATGCACCGAGTAGCACACAGAGACTTAAAGCCAGAAAACTTCCTCTTCCTTACAGACCAACCGAACTCCCCAATGAAACTCATCGACTTCGGTTTAGCGGCGAGGTTCAAGCCTGGACAGCCCATGCGCACCCGAGCAGGCACCCCCTACTACGTCTCCCCTCAGGTTGATCTGCACTGCCTTCTGTTGCTGCTGTTGCTGCTGCTGATACTGTTGTTGGCGTTTCCTTTCCTTCCTCCTGCTGTATCGCCTCAGGTTTACTTGCACTTATTGCTGCTGATGCTGATGCTGCTGCTTCTCTTCGCTGCTGCCGTCTCGCCAGAGGTTGAGATGCTGCTCCAGTTGTTGCTTCTGCCTTCCTTTACTTCTTCTGTTGTCTTAGTCTTCATATCAGTGCGGTTGTGTTGGTTTCAGCCTGTATGCATGCATGCAGGCTAAAATGCGCTGCTTTGAATGCTCTGCATGCATGCATGCATGCAGAGTGTGTCTTGTATTGCGTGTGTATCTGTTGGGGTGTATGCACACCTGATTGCAGGTGTTGGAGGGTCGTTACGGGCCAGAGTGTGACGTGTGGTCTGCCGGAGTGATGCTGTACATATTATTATGCGGGTATCCTCCTTTTAATGCTCCATCAGACCGAGGGATAATGAATAAAGTTCGCACAGGGCACTACACTTTCCCTGAGGCGGAGTGGGGGAAGGTCTCACTGCAAGCAAAGGATCTCATCTCCCGTCTGCTGGATAGACACCCCCGCACTCGCATTAGCGCAGAACAAGCAATTCGGCATCAATGGTTCACTATGCACATGCCAGACAGCGTAGCCAACGAACCCCTAGGTAAGAAATCCGCTACTCTTGCTGCTGCTGCTGCTGGGCTGGTGCAGTTGCTGCTCCAGCAGATGCTTTTGCTGGTACAGCTGCTGCTGCAGCAGGTGCTGCTGCAGCTGCTATGCTAGTGTTGCAGCGTTTGCTGCTACTGCTGCTGCTGCAGCTGGGCGTTGCGCAAGGAAATGCAGTTGCCGTAGCGGGCAACGCGAGGAGCAGGTGTAGCCTGTTCAGAGGACACTGCAACACTTTAATTATATCGATTGATGCAGCAGGATGCTTGAGAGGGGGAGGCCTGAGGGCCTCTATAACGCCTTCAGTGCCGCTTTGTTCGCTGTGTCTCCATCATCATCACTGGGTCTTCATGGGTTTAGGGTTTATGGTTCTGCTCAGTTGCTGATCTGTACACCACGTGTGCTTACTGCGTGCTTGCACTCTTGCCGGTGTTCACGTTTGTACATATATATATATATATATATATATACATGCATGTTAATGTACGCGCATATGCATATGCCCATTTGTACATATATATCTGCGTTTAAGTATGTGTGTATATTATTATTATGTAATATTGCATATATACGCATATGCATGCATAGGTATACGCAGATATAAGTACCCATACAGTAAATGCGTTTTGTTTGTTTGCTTGTGATAGGGATTGACATTCTGAGTAAATTTCGTCGTTTTCAGAGTTTGAGTCGGCTGAAAAAGCTGGCGCTGACGGTGATAGCACAGCATTTAGATGACTCAGAAATAGAGAGTTTAAAGGCGGTGTTTACGCAGTTAGACACTCGGGGAGATGGGGTGTTGTCTATAGACGAGGTGCGAGAAGGAATCGCAAGAAGCGGCGTACGCCTCCCCTCTGATATGGTGTTAGAAGAGGTCCTCAAAGAGGTAGACACAGCCGGCACGGGCTGTATTGACTACACCGAATTTATTGCTGCTTGCCTCCACCAGTCTCATTATATCCGAGAGGAAGCGTGCAGAGCAGCCTTCCGTGTACTGGATATCAACGGAGACGGACACGTGAGGTGCGTCTCTTTCTCCCTGTTTTTTTTTTGGGTGTATGTACACCGCAGGTAGACCCCAGCGTGCGTGTGTGTTTCTGCATGCTTTGTTGGTGAGGGCCTTCCTTGTTCTTCTGTTGCTTCGTGCCTATCTTGTGCTTCTGAATAATGCATTTTTGTTTTTTTTTGTTCGCCTCTCAGCGCGGAGGAGCTAAGGCAAGTGTTTCATATGGCGGGCGACTTAGAGACCGACGCTGCAGCGGAGCTGCACGAAGCGGATGCAGACGGCGACGGCAAAATAAACTTTGAAGAGTTTTGCGGCTTAATGCGCAAAGTGCCTTCGCTGGCGCTGGTGACGGAGCACACCGTTTCTATGATGAGGAAGACTTGCAGCAGGACCAACGTATCCGATATGGCGTGCATGAACTGATTATGAAGATTAACACCATTATTTTTACTATGATTGGGAGAATTATAAATATTATGGTGAGCCTTTTGATTGCAATTAATGCATACCAACAGGGGCTCCTGAAGATCAAGGGAAACCCGAACGAGTACAAGGTGCGAAAGCAGGGGAGGCCCTCTGCTACGCTCCTCAAGTCATTGGTGCACCCCTTTTAGGCTGCAGCAGCAGCAGCAACAGGAGCAGCAAAGGAACAAATCTGACGCAGCGCAAGGAAACATAGAGCAGCAACTTGTGGGGCGAGAGCGACTGACTGTACGTACACCTGAAGTGGCATCGAATGCAGACAGAAGGCCCGCAAGAGGAGTCTTCTTGTGTTTGCATGCACTCCACAGTTGCAAAATATGTGTTGAGTTTCTCTTTAGAGCTAATGCAACTTTCTTCTCTTCCTATTTTACTCTGTCCACCCAAGGAGGTCCTGAGACAGAGGCCGCCGCCCGATGGCTTGTGACTACGGGCAAATTTTTCGTTCTTTTCCGCTTGCAAGTAAAATGCGGGGAGCGATGAATTAATTTATGCAAATTCATCGATTAATTACTCCCTGCGGTTCATATACAGTTGCATACATGTATATCATTGCAGTATTTGAGATGTGTACGTGCACGTATACCTATATATATATATATATATTTGTGCATATATCTACATATGCCTGCATTGCAGCAATGAGTAGTTTGTTGCTGATGGCGCCCCACATCCCTGGGGTCTTTGCGCGTCAGCACCGCCTAAATTTTCCTCAAGTGAGTTCCTCTTCAGTGACAACCAAGCAGATCTTTTCTTGTTGTTGCTGCTGCAACTCAACAAATGATCTTCTACAGGTGGCTTACTGCTTCAGTGCTCGGGGGAGAAAGAAAGAAAGTTTAATAGCCAGCTGAAAAGAGGCGTATCAACAGTCATACTCGCGCGCGTCTCTGTGGCTGTGTAGCAGCTGCAAATGTATACAAAGAGTAGATCTCAGTGAAACTCAAGTGCAATGTTTGGTTAGAGGGTTTTTGCCTAGTTTGTTAAATAAGCGCTTAGAACAGATAAAGGAAATTTCATCACTTATTCCCACCGTCCCTATTTATTTTTGAGTGGTTGGGGCGCTAGTCGAGGCCCTCGTCCTTTTGTTTTATTTTTGATATTTGTTTTATGCAAGTAGAAAGAAAATAAAGTAAAGAGGAAGCAGTATTGTTGGGATATTTCTTTCCTTGTCTATTGACTGAAGGAGTTCTGCACAGAGTGCATGTCGTATTTATAGTGCGTCTTCTCAGCCTCGAGTTTGTCTATTTTTGAAATGGCCTCCTGTTTAATTTGATTTAATGAGTGGAAAATGAATAATAAAGATGTATATACACTCGACAATATATCTCGAAGCATCACCTCCAGTTGTTCTTCAGGAGATTCAACTTTCATTTCGATGGGCTCCGTATTTTTTGCGGTTTCTGCTCCATTCATTGCGGCTTGTTCTTCCTGAACGAGAGCAATTATTTATTTAAATGCATTACATCAAACAGATTAAAATAAATGCAAAGACGGAAGCATCTTCTCGCTATTTCCCGTACCATTACTTGAGTCATGGCCTCCTCGACATCTGCACAGTACAGGCAAATAGATGAGCGCGTGCATTTAAATGGAAATCTCAAATAAATAGAATAATATTTAATTAAATAAGAGTCTAATAATGAGACCCACCAGCAACGGAATCGGGCTTCACCACCATGACAGGGATCGGCACTGGGGAGAAATTATTTCTTTAGACGCAGTTCAACAGCGTAGATTTCAATCAAATTCCTTCTTACGCATTTCTGGTGCCTCGAAGCCTTCTAACAAACTACCGGGGGGAGCTGCAGCGCCTACTGGTGCCGCTGCTCCTTCCTTTCCTGCATTGAGATCATTAAATGCATTTAATGATGCATCAGATGGTGAACAACACAGCAGAAACAGAAGGAGGAAAAAGAAAACAACCGACCTGGTGATGGCGGAGGCCCCGGAAATTGAATCTCCACTGTCGCACCAGGGGCCGCATTCGCACGGGCTGTTGTTTGTTTTTGCATGGATTGAAAAGATACAGCAGCATGATAGAAAAAAAAGAAAGGTCTAAAAGGCTGGGGTGTATGCTCTGTGCAACTCACACTGCTGAAACGCCTGCTTCCCGGCAGCCACATCATTCAAAATACCCGAAAGCTCCTTCTGTAAAGCGCCAACTTTACTCTGCTGATCGGCCACCATAGCTTGCAGCTGTTGAATAGAAGGGTCTATCTGTGCACTGAGATGGAGGAGGAAGCAACGGGCGAGTTAAGCGGTTTTACAAACGTCTGAAGCCCCTTCTCTTAGCCGTATATATTAAAAGAAGTACCTGTTTCTTGCTTCCGAATGCATGAGAAGACGAGTGGCATCGGAACGGGATGGTCTGGAAACCACAAGAAGTAGAAACGGATACAGAAGAAAAACCGATGTCTTCATTTTGCACTCGCACTCGAGAGTTTATTATTAAACCCGACTCTTCATATTTCCTTCTCCTCCGTTTTACAAGTCTTCAGAGGCACCACAAGCAATAATGCAAGAGAAATGGAGCAAACAGAACGATTGGCAGCTGATGGTGGTCGTTGTGAGAGGTGGAAACACCAAAAAAATGAAAGCCCCTTAGAAGATTCTTAAGAACACCTTCTAAAGAGAATGTATAAATGCGTTTGTTATTGCAAATACACCTGGTATTCTCAGAAAAATGCGCTAGTCTTTCAGTGAATTTCATTGCAGATTCGTCTTTCTTCAAAGCTGCGCATACACCTGAAAAACCGAAGTTGCAATTTCTTGCACGAAATGGAAATCAGTGCCGATCTTATAGTTTTCGCTGCTCAAAAGGCGGCTTTTTGCAGAGAAATATCAATACAATATAAACAATACATTCGTAACTTCAGCCGCAAGCACAAACAACATTTATTTATACTTATTTATACTTTTGTACACAATTGGCTGGGCGTTTCGCTGCCTACTTGCTCTGAGTTGTTCTCTTGAAAGTGTGAAGACTTTGGGTTTGCAAGCATTTCAGCCGTAAGCCGTAGCAACCAAATCTCCCCGTAATATTTTGCACGCATTTGATTTCAGTGTTGGAGGCATCAAAAAGAGAAGAAGAGAACTTCGACTTCTACTTCAGGCGTAGGCAGCCATAGGGGCTAATTGGTGACGTACTTAAAAACAAGGCAGAGCTCGGTGTGTCTCTTCTGATGAGCAAGTAACAGCTGCTGCAGCTCCAGTAGCTCCAAGGGCGGCACCAACAGCAGCAGCAACAGCAGCAAAAGCGAGGGCAGAGAAGGAAGAGGCTGCGTTGCAGTGGAGAGGCCGAGAAGCAACGGTGACGTCTGTCTGTTGGCTTTTCGTTCCTTCATTTTTAGGTGTACAGCGCAAGGGATGAATCCTTCAGTGTGTTTATTATTTTCGTGCTTTATTCCCTGTCAATTTGCATCGGAAAGACATCGCAATCAAATCATTACTAAGTTCTTATAACTTCAGAGAACGTTTTGGTTGGAAATCAACGAATGCCTATATTGTATTTTTCAGTTTCACTACTGCGAATTTAAATAATAATAATACAAAGCAGATAAAGACGCCGGCTAAACGCAGTACTTCGACTCGGAAGTGCTTGCGTCATCTTCGCCTCGCGTGTATCCCTGCTGCTGCCGCTGCTGTTGCTGCTGCTGCTGCTGCTCTTGCTCTTCCAGCAGCAGCAGCAGCGGCAGGTCCAAGCTGTCTACGCCTTCGCTGTCCCGCTAATTCTTTTGTCTCTCTGTGCTTCGTCTTTCCTTGTTTTCTGCGTGCGTTGACTTGCGTCTCTTCAGTCAGGCAAAAGCAAAAAAAGCGAAATTCAGATATAAAAGCCATTCTCTCATGGCATATTGGGGTGTACGTACACCGCAAAAATGTTGCAGAGATGCTGCAGCGCAGCTGACTGCGCTTTGATGTTCATCTCTGTTTGTGCACAGCTTTTGCATGCATGCAAGCAGACGAAGCAAGCGTGCATGCATGCATGCATGCATGCATGCAGACGGCGTAAGTCAACTAGGCATGCATGCAAACCGACTAAGCAAAACAAATACAACAGAATAGAGGGAACAGAAGAGAAAGAAATTACAGAAAAACAAACAAAGATATCCAGCTTCTCGCTTTACTCAAAACGCTGGGCTGAATGACTCCGCGTTGTCAGAACCTTCAAAGCCTGAGAAGGCCCACAACAACAGCAGCAGCAACAGCAACAGCAACAGCGGCAGCAGCAGCACAGGCAGCTAACCGGAAGCTCAGCCCCCACACTGAAACGCGCTGTGGTCAAGCCCTACACCCTCAACCCTCGACGCATCGAAACCCGAATTTTAAATGCTTTCAAACCCTAAACCCATCTCTGGAACTTGCCAAACCCTAAACCCTAAACCCTAAACCCTATCCAGCTTCTGACAGGTAAAACCAACGCACAAATGTTGCTGCTTCGCGAGCGAAAGGAGAAGTACTATCAAAGCCTTTGAAGGTAAGAAGCAGCGGCACGGCTGCAGCAAACAAAACAAAAGACAAACGCTACTGCATGCAGCAGCAGCTGCTGCATCACAGCAACGCAAGCGGCGGAATAATTCCAGCAGCACCAGCAGCAGCAACAGCAGCACCAGCAGCAGCAACAGCAGCAGCAGCACCAGCAAAAGAGGACTCACCGTCCGCCTCAATGACTGCCTGCTTTGTTGCCTCAGATGCAGCACAAAGATTAGCCAGGGAACGCAGCAAAGGAGGTGTGCATACACTCCAACGCACCAACTGCCACACCTGCTCGTCTCCTGGCTGGGGCTGGGGTGCTCCCTCGGGAAGCTGCTGCTGCTGCTGCTGCAGCTGCTGCAAGTCTATACTTGGTCCTTCTCTTTGTTTTGCTGCCAACAGAGCGAGCACCATCTGCTGCTGATAAAGCCGCAGCAGCTGCAGCAGCGTCAGAGCCAGAAGCTTTTGCTGCTCTCTGAATTCGGCGTCTGCTTTCCTCTCTTCTTCCGTTCCTGCTGCTGTTGCTGTTGCTGTTGTTGTTGTTGTTGCTGCTGCTGCTGGGTGGCTGGCACTGAAAATCTGCACGGCCTCTGCAACAAAAGAGAAAAAGGTAAAGATGTGCTGCAGCGTCTCACTGACTACCATAAACTTAGGGATTCCTTCAGCTGAACCCGCAACCTGACGACTGCTGCGGTTCCAGCTGCAGATGCTGCTGCTGCTGCTGCTGCTGCTGCTGCTGCTGCTGTTGCTGTCCCTATTGCTGCTGCTGATGCCGGGGGGCGGCATGCGGAGTGCTTCCTCTTTCAAATCCTGCATAGAAGAAAGCGATGAAGAGTCGCCTAGCGAGAAGTAAAGAAGGTCAAATTGTTGCTGTTGCTGCTCTCCCTGCTGCAGCAGCAGCAGCTGCTGCTGCTGCTGCTGTTGCTGCTGCGGCCCCGGAATCGCAGCCTCTCTTTCTTTGTTTTGCTGTGAAATAGCGCACACATACCGAAAAAATCCATCCTCGTCAGCTGCTGTTGCTGCTGCTGCTGCTGCTCCTGCTGCTGTTGCTGGTGCTTCTGGTCCTGCTGCTGCTGCTGCTGCGGCAAAGTAGACTCGCTGGGCCTCGTGCAGCTGCCTGATGCCGCTTATCGCGGCCTCCAGCTGCCTTTGAATGAACTCTAAGATGGGGGATGAGGTGCCGACTGCCTGAAACCCAACACGAAACCCTAAACCCTAAACCCTAGACCTGAAAACCCCAAGCCTTAAGCTCTACCCCCAAACTCTAACCCCAAAACCGTAAACCCTAAACCCTAAAAGCTTCTTTTCTGCACAGCCGATCCACCTGGCGTCCAAATGCATTTTGGTATTTAGGCTTCAGGGTTTAGGGTTTAGGGTTTAGGGTTTAGGGTTTAGGGTTTGTGTACCTTGTAAAGCGATCTTGGAGCCTTCGGGTTTTTGCTGTCATCTTTCAGTAGGGCCGTGGATATGCGGAGGAGGTAAAGGGCTAGGGGCCCCTTTGCTGCTGCTGCCAGCTTCTGCTGCAGCTGCTGCAGCAGGAAGGAGAAGCGGTGAGAGACACCTGCTGCTCTCTCTTTTTGCTGCTTCTGTTGGTAAGGGTTTAGCAGCGCTAGAGACAGCAACTCAAACACATCCACGGTCATTGTACTGCGCCAACACACACAATCCACAAACCCTAAACCCTAAACCCTAAACCCTAAACACTACACTCTAAGCCCTAAACCCTAAACCCTAAACTCTTGACCCTAAACTCTCGACCCTAAACCGAAGACCCTAAACCGTAATTCCTAAACTCTAAACCAAAACCCCGAAACCCTAAACCCTAAACCCTAGGGTTTGTTATCTTCCCCTTCAGCACGCACTGCAATGCAAAGTGAAGCAGTTTAGCAAAGGGGGCTGCATTGCTGCTGCTGATGAGGCCGCAGCAAAGAAGAGACACCCATTCTCCGCTGTCTCCTTTGATGCTCCGCTGCTCGCCTTTGTCTTCAGGGCTCTCTTCTAGAGCCTCTTGCAAAGCCATAGAAAACAACGCCGCCAACAGCTGCAGCAGCAGCAGCAGCAGAAACAGCAGCAGCAGCAGCAGAAACAGAAGCAGAAGACATACGCACACTGAACACACAAAAGACGACTCCGCAGCTGCTTCCGAAAGATACATATAGCAGCAGCAGCAGCAGCAAATGGGGCACCAGCACCCTACATCAGCAGCAGCAGCAGCAAGAACAGCAGCAGCAGCATCAGCAGCAAGCAGACCTCTAGAAAGGGTTCTTCCGTGGATATCTTCGGTGTCTGGTTGTTGCAGCAAAAGAGAATATACAGAAAGGCAAAGGAGGGCTCACACGATGCTGCAGCAAACACACAGCAACCCCACCACTACATACACAGCCGCTAGCAGCAGCAGCAGCAGCAGCAGTAGCAGCAGCAGCACCAGCAAAAGTCGCTGCAGGAGCAGCAGAAGCGCATTTACTTACCAGAGCACAAGGTCAGCTCCAAAAGCCTCAACCTCCCAACAGCATTCCATATCTGCTGCTGCTGCTGCTGTTGCTGCTGTTGCTGCTGTTGCTGCTGCTGCTGTGTAGCACCGGAGCTGACAGCAGCAGCAGGAGATTGTGCTGCTGCAGCAGCGTTCCCAAGCAGCTGCAGCAGCCCTTTGGGCAGCAGCAGCGCCTCCGCACAAAGGAACGGCAGATCAAACCAGGAAGCATATCCTGCTGCTGCTGCTGCTGCTGCTGCATCTGGTGCTGCTGCCGATACTGCGGCTGTTGTCGCTGCTGGGGCATCTGTTGCTGTTGCTGCTGCTGATTCTGCTGCTGCTGCTGCTGCGTCTATTGCTGTTGCTGCTGCAGGTCTGTCTAGCAGATGAGAGGCGATGCTGCAGACCTCCACAACCTACGAAGCCCACCGCAAACTCCTAAACCCTAAACCCTAAACCTTACGCCTTAATCCCTACCCCCTAAACCCTAAACCCTAAAACCTAAACGGTACGCGCTAGTCCATAAACCCTAAACCCTAAACCCTACTTCGTGAGCCCTGAAGTTTCGGTCTTCTGTTTGTATTGGCGTGTGAATGGTGTGTGAGAGTTGAGGGTTTAGTTAGGGTTTAGGGTTTAGGGTTTAGGGTTTACGTGGGCCTCTGAGAGGAGTTGTTGTAAATAGCCGCCCTCAATGAGGGTCTTCAAAAAAAGAGGAGACAGACAGATGTTCCGCAGCAGACGCACAAAGACGCTCAATATAGCTGCTGCTTCAACCAGTGCAACGCTGCTGCTGCTGCTGCTGCTGCTGCTGCTGCTGCTGCTGCTTTTGATGCTGGCCCTGCTGCCGCTGGTGGCGTTGTTGGTGTTGGTGTTGTTGTTGTTGCTGCTGCTGCTGCAGTCCAGAGAAGAGACGCCGCCTTCGTCTGTGCATGCAGTAGCAGCAGCAGCAACACCCAAGCGGTGCAGCAGGTGCAGCAGCAGCTGCAGCAGCCGCTGCTGCGCGTCCTTATCGTTGGCGAAATATTCTCTCCATGCCGCGTTGCTGCAGGTTTGCTGCAGCAGCAACACCCAGCAGCCTAACCCCAAACCCTAAACCCTAAACCATAAACCCTAGGGCTTCGAGTGTATCGACAGCAACACAGACTGAGCCACGGGTCGGCAGCCCCCTACCCTGAAACCTAAACCCTAAACCCTAAACCCTAAGAGCGCCCAAACCCTAAAAGACGTAAGCCCTAAGAAGAATTTCTAAACCCTAAACCCTAAACCCTACTTTGACGAGGGCCCTCAGCAGCAGATAGAGGTTCTGCTGGCTGCTGCAGCACTCAAGGGCAACCAGAGCTTCCCCCGCCGCGCTGCTGCACGACTTAGCTTCCTCTGCTGCTTCAAAGACCTTGAGCTTGCTGCTGAGGGGCCCCTGCAGCAGCAGCTGCTGCTGCTGCTGCAGTGCTTGCAGGCGGCACTGCAAGACCTTCGTGCCCTGGGGGGCTAAGGAAGGTTGCTGTGCTTCTATCATAAAGAAAAAAGAAATTAATTAACAAACAGAAAATAAATAAAATAAAATAAAATAAATAAAACAAATAAACAAACGAACAAACAAACAACTGCATGCGCTGCCCTCAGCCAATCGAGAATCCCGCAGCCGACCTGGCCGTAAGCAAAACCCTAAACCCTAAACCCTAGACCTTAGACATTAGAATCTAACCTCTCAATCCTAAACCCTAAAACAAACCCTAAACACTAAACCCCAGGCCCTAAAACCCTAAATCCTTGACCTCAAACCCTAAGCACTGAACCCTAAACGTTAAACCTTAAACCCTAAAACCGTAAACCCTAAATCCTAAACCCTAGGCGACCCCCTAAAGAAAGCGAATAACTGCTAGACCGTAAACCCTAAACCCTAAACCCTAAACCCTAGACCTTAAACCCTAAACCTTAAACCCTAAACCATAAAGGTCTGGTTCGGTGGCACAAATGCCTTAGTAACAGAAAAAATTTGAATGTACGCATGCAAGGAGCGTAGCGTCGATGTGCTGCTGTTGCTGCTGCTCCTGCTGCTGCTGCTGTGGGGCGCTGCTGCACAGCGGCTCCACTGCAGCGGCTTAGAAGGACATCTGTTTGTGTTTGCTGCTGCTGCTGCTGTGTTTGTGTTTGCTTCGTTGTTTGTGTTTTAAGGCTGCTGCTGCATGCAGCGCCTGAGTGAGACGAAGAGCAACAGCATCAGATTTGCAAATAGAAGAGAAGGCTTTGCTGCTGCTGCTGCTGCTGCGGCTGCTGCTGCTGCGGAAGATAGGCGCATGCACCTCTGCGACTTTTAATGTTAGTTTGTCTATTCTTGTTTTCTTCCTTTTAAATTGAACTCCTTGCAGCTCTTCTGTTTCCTGTAATGTGTCTCCTGTAGCAGCAGCAGCAGCTGCTGCTGCTGCTGCAGCAGCGACGGGGGATGCTGCTGCTGCCGCTGCTGCTGCTGCTGCGCGCTTGCGCTGGTGAAGCTGCTCCCGCATGCGCCGGTTTGCTGCATAATCATCTGCCTGCTGCTGCTGTTGCTGCAGCAGCGCAGCAGTAGCAGCTCTTGCGCTGCTGACAGCTTCATGAAGCTTACGTTGTTGAGGTGTCTCCTCAGCAGCAAGTTGCTGCTCCTCCTGCTGCTGCAGCAGCAAACCCCTTTGACGGCGCAGCAGCAGCTGATGCTCTTTTAAAGCAAGAGGGTTTGCTTCTAATCGTCTTCTCTCTTCTGGCTGCAGCAGCCTAGGATTATTATTAAGAACGTCATCTGTATCTGCTGCTGTTTCCCGCTGCTTCAAACCCTTGCTGCATATATAATTGCTGCTTTTAGGGTTCGAGATGATTATACACTCCGCTGCGCAGTGAGGACAAGCAAATGAAAAAGAATAAACAGCAGAAGAAAAATAAGAGCCTTCTTTCTTCTTCTTCGCATTAAACCTCACGCCTTTGTCTATTATAACACCACAAGATAAACAGCTGCATTTAAACGGGAGCTCAAACCGTATTACTAAAACCCCTAAAGATATTTCTTTAGCTCTCTCGCCTAATGCATGCCTCCCTCTGTAATTATTTAATGTCTTATGCACAGAAGGATTAAAATCTGCTCCGTAGTAATAGCCATCTGCACGGCAAGCAGCTAAAGAAGACATCTTCGCTAACCCTCCTGCTGCTGCTGCTGCTGCTGCTGCTGCTGTTGCTGCTGCTGCTGCTGTTGCTGCTGCTGCTGTTGCTGCTGCTGCTGCTGTTGTTGTTGCTGGTGTTGCTGCTGCTGATTATGATAATAATGACGATGATGCTGATGAAACTGCGGTGCTTCTTGCCGCTGAGGAGGCCGATAAGGTTGCTGCTGCCTAAGGTTGCTGCTGCTGCTGCTGACGAACTGCTGCTGCGCCTCTACAGCGCAGCCTCGTCCTGCATGCGCTACAACGTGAATTAATGCGGTTGCTGCCCTGCAGCAGCAACCGCTCTCAGCTTCTAGCAGCAGCACCACCAGCTGCTGCCGCAGCGCCTGCAGCAACGGCAGCAGCAGTAACAGCAGCAGCAGCGGCGGCTGCCGCTGCCGGTACGGAGATAAAGACGATCAAACAAGCGCTTCGAAGAGTCTCCTGTTCCCAGCAAGAGAAGGAAAGACTAGAAGCAAACAGAAACGAGAGAAGAAGTGTATATACAACCCAGGGACCCAGGGGCTAGCAGTGAGCGTCCAAGGGCAGTCCGGCGGCCCTGACAGGAGCCACCCGATTGAAAGGCGCAAAAAACAAACAAAAAAAGAAGTAAAAATAAAGAAATATGCAGAAAATAGAGAAGCAAACGAAGGTTGAGCTGTCGATACACCCCAGCAGCAAGCCGTGCCGCTGCTGTTGGCTGCAGGAGAGACGAGGCAAAGTTTTTCGAAATAAAGCACAAGAAAAGAAACAATAAATCGAAAATTTTGTTTAAGTACAATAAATAATGCAGATTGACTACTTTAAATGCTCTACTGAATGTAGAAGCTGCGTAGACACCTGAAAAATTTTCTTAGGCGAATGCAGCTGGGGCTGCATGCAGATAAATGCAAATAGAGATTAAAAATATATATAATCAAATATAAATGTAAAATTATATCGAATTCACTTTGTTTATCTCAATTCTCCTGAATTCCCTCTTCATCCTGTCTATGTGTGCGGCCGACCTCTCAAGGATTAGGGTTTAGGGTTTAGGGTTTAGGGTTTAGGTTTTAGGGTTTAGTGTGTAAAACTGGTTTTACCTTCAGCAGAGGACAGCCATGCATTCTCTTCCCTTCCTCCTCCCTTCCCCTCTCCGCCCTCGCCCCTCTAAACCCTAAACCCTAAACCCTAAACCCTAAACAATGGCGCCTTTTGCGAAGGGGTTTCCGCGGCCTCGGAGCCGCAAGATGCGCTCGCTGTATTCAATAGGGGAGTCAATAAACCCGCCAGACCCTCGGCGTCGGCCTCCTCCTTCTCTTCTTGACCCGCCTCCTGCTGTTGCCCCCTTAAAGAAAGGAATCCCACAGTTAAACCCGCAATTCGATACTCTCAACACCATCGTAAACCCTAAACCCTAAACCCTAAACCCTAAACCCTAAACTTAAAACACTACAAACAAAATACCACCTACACCCAGAAACCTACACGTGACTAAACCCTAAACCCTAAACCTTGAATTCGAATGCATCGCTTGCACAGTCACCTCTCCCACATCGCAGCATTATTATTCGAAGTATTTAGGGTTTAGGGTTTAGGGTTTAGGGTTTGTGGTTTGTGGTTTTCAGGTGACAGGGTTTAGAAAATATCAGCCGCCGCCTGAAAAGTTGTCGAATTTACGTCGCGAATACACCGCAAAAAATTTTCACGAATTGTTTGGACGATTTCGCTTCCAAATCACAGGCCGCTTCCCCTGTTAGTCCTGCTGCTGCTGCTGCTGCTGCTGCTGGTGCTGCTGCTGCTGCTGCTGCTGGTGCTGCTGCTGCTGCTGCTGCTGGTGCTGCTGCTGCTGCTGCTGCTGATGAGGCTGAGGCTGCTGAGGCTGATGCTGCTGCTGCTGCTGCTGCTGCTGCTGCTGAGGCTGCTTAGGCTGATGCTGAGGCTGCTGAGGCTGCTGCTGCTGCTGATGCTGCTGCTGAGGCTGATGCTGAGGCTGCTAAAGCTGCTGCTGAAGCTGCTGCTGCTGAGGCTGATGAGGCTGCTGCTGATGCTGCTGCTGCACTTCTTTTTGCTGCTGTTTCAACTATGGGAGGTGCTGCATCTAATTGCCTTAGAGCTGCAGCAAGGTTATTTCTTGCTGCTGTCGCCGTTGCTGCTGCTCCTCGTAGCTTCTGATATCTGGGTCAGCATCAGCATCAGCATCAGCAGCAGCATCAGCAGCAGCAGCAGCAGCGGTGCACTTGTGTGCTGCAGACAATGGAGATGTATTTAGAGACAAGATGCTTCGGGTGTCTCGCGACCTCTTCCTCGTAGGATGGATAAAATGCAGAAGCAAATTCGCAATCGGACATGTCAGACTCCTGCTGCTGTTGCTGCTGCTGCTGCTGCTGCTGTTGCTGCTGCTGTTGCTGCTGTTGCTGCTGCTGCTGCTGCTGCTGTTTGCTTGCTGCATTGTTTTGCCGCCGCTGCTTTCCGTAGTTGCTGCTGCAGCATTTGCTGCTGCGACGGTGGCGGCAGCCCCTAATATGAATGGAGCATATTGCTGCTGCTGCTGCTGCTGCTGCTGCTTCTGCTACTTCTGCTGCTGCTGCTGCAGGTGCAGGGAGACGTTTACGCTTTGTCTTACTTTCGTCGATGGATGGAGCGGCATGCAGAAGAAGAAATAAAGTGCTGCTCCTTTACAGAGGAGACAATAGGGCTGCAAAAGCTTGACTACGAGTCCGACCTATACCCTAAACCCTAAACCCTAAACCCTAAGGGGCTTCCCTCAATACCCCAAGACGCACGCAAACAAACCCTAAACCATAAACCCTCAAACTTGGAGGTTTGAGGGTTTAGGGTTTAGGGTTTGTACTCTGACTGAACGTACACCTCGCAGTCGGCAGACGCTCACCAACCACTAAACCCTAAACCCTAAACCCTAAACCCTAATGTGGTGCTTTACCTGCTGCTGTTTGGCTTCAGGCAAATGGCTGCCGTGAATGACTACCGCAGTCCCGCGAAGAAGAAGCTGCACATGCTCTTGGTAAACCCTAAACCCTAAACCCTAAACCCTAAAGAGTGCATTATTTGTGTCTGTTCTATTATTACCCTTTGAATCTCTCTACTGTCTCCTTTGTTTCTTTTGTCTGTCTCCGTTTGTTTGCTGCTGCAGTCAGCAGAGAGACAGAAGGCCCATCAGTTAGAAAGAGACGCCCAAAGGAGAGCAGCAAACTACAGAGACTACCTCGACGCACACTGTCTCCAAGACTATTAACACCAGCAGCAGCAGCAGCAGCAGCAGCAGCACAGGCGAGCTAGGGGAGACGGCATATGGGGCGAAGAGCTGCCGCCTTAGCCTTACGGGCCCATATGTTGTGCAGCTGGATGGTTTGCCAGCTAGCTAGCTAGCTAGTTAGCTAGCTAGCTAGTTAGTTAGTTAGCTAGCTAGCTAGCTGCTTCAAGTGAATTAAAAAAACAGGTTTTTCGAATGTGTGGGGTGCTGGGATCGTGTGGGATCGTCTCCCCCCAAGGAAAGACCGCCAGTTGACGAGCAAACCCAAACAGACCCCACCCAGCTAGCTACTCGGGTAGCTACTCAGCTAGCCCTATAGCTAGCCATCCAGCTAGCCACTCAGCTAGTTACGGTTACCCTGCATGGCGAGGCAGCCAGCGACGTGCCGCTAGCTAGCTGGCCAGTTAGCTAGCTAGCTAGCTAGCTTTCCGTCTACCTATCTATCAACCTCGCTGGCTAGCTAGCGAGCTAGCTAGCCAGCTAACTATCTGCATACCTGTTTAGGTAACTAGCTATCTACCTACCTAGTTGCCTAGCTCCCAGTACACCTGTCCACCCGCACAGCTAGCCAGCTAGCTAGCTAGCCAGATAGCTAGCCAATCGCCTAGCTAGCTAGCATGCCCTATGTTGAGGTCCCATCGGGATCGGGAGCAGACGCCTCCTCTACACACTTGAGGCAGTACCTTTCAAATTCTTCCGTTGCTGCTGCTACTGCGGCTGCTGCTGCTGCTGCTGCTGCTGCTGGAGTCGCTGCTGCTGTCGTTGCTGCTGTAGTAGGCGCAACAGAAGCAGCATTTGCGCGTTCCCATTTGTGAATATCTGCAGCAGAAAACAAAAGGGGGGGAACAGCGGCGTGTACAGACAACTAAACGGAACTTGTTGCTGCAACTTGCCGCTGCTGCTGCTGCTGCTGCTGCTGCTGCCGCTGCTGCTGCTGCTGCTCACCTTTAAGGATTTCAGCCTTCCGCCGACTCCACAGACGCCCTAGCTGAGACTTCGCCTCTGCAGAACGAACATTCTAGGGTTTGGCTAGGGTTTAGGGTTTAGGGTTTAGGGTTTAGAAAGTGCTCCCATGCAACTCCCCGGTCCCATGCAGCCACGTGCTGAGAAGGTTCCCTGTCTGTCTGGAATTAACGCTTTAGGGTTTAGGGTTTAGGGTTTAGAGGCCCTCCTACCTGCAGGCAGCCCGCTGGCGACGCCTTTCAGTGTCCTGTGCACCACCTCTCTTAGCCTCACGTCAGCAGCAGCAGCAGCAGATGTAGCAGCAGCAGCAGCAGCAGGAGCTGCTGCATCTGCTGCTGCTGTTACTGCTACATCTGCTGCAGCAGGAGCTGCTGCATCTGCTGCTGCTGCAGCAGATTCAGGTGATGGCGAGCTAGTGGGGTCCTCACAGCAGGCCCCCTCAACAAGGGGTGAGCAGCCACCAGGGCCCTTGGGGGCCCCTAAAGGACCCCTGGGGGCCCCTAAAGGGCCCCTGGGGGCCCCTAGAGGGCAGCTGGGGGCCCCTAAAGGGCCCCTGGGGGCCCCTAGAGGGCAGCTGGGGGCCCCTAAGGGGCCCCTGGAGGCCGCTAAAAGGCCCCCGGAGGCCCCTAATGGGCTGCTGGGGGCCCCTGAAGGGCCGCTGGGGGGCCCTAAAGGGCAGCTGGGGGCCCCTAAGGAGCAGCTCGGGGCCCGTGAAGGGCCGCTGGGGGCTTCTAAGGGGCAGCTGGGGGCCCCCAAGGAGCAGCTGGGGGCCCCTTGGGGGCCCCTGGGGGCCCCTAGAGGACCCCTAGGGGCCCCCACAGGAGGAGGGGGCCTCCAGAGAGGCAATATGCCTTCGTGAGCGGCTTTGACGAGGAGTTGCACCTAAAACGAAGAAGAGCAGAGAAGTGAAGATGTTCAATTGAAAGATGCAAGACGTTCAAGGGTTTAGTAGGGTGTAGGGTTTAGGGTTTGCTAAGTATTGATAGGGTTTAGCGTTTGCTAGGGATTAGGGCTTAGGGTTTAGGGTTTAGGGTTTACCTTATAGGGTGTATCCCCTGTAAGCATCCAAAGCGGCGGAGAAGACCGCCAACCACCACAGGTGTTGCTGCTGCTGCTGCTGCTCTCGTTGCTTCTGCTTTTGCTGCTGCTGTCCTTGCTGCTGCTGTTGCTGTTAGTGCCCCCGCTGCTGCTGTTGCTGTTGCTGTTGCTGCTGCTGCTGCGCGGTGTACATGCAGCAGCAAGGTCTCTAACGTTTTTATATCTTTTTATCGACGCCTCGTGAGCAGCAAGAAGAGAGACTCCTATATTATCCCGCCGAGAGATGCAGCGAGAAAGAGGTGTATACACCCAAAGCTGGACAAACCCACAACCCCCTGCATGCAAGCAAACCCTAAACCCTAAACCCTAAACCCTAAACCCTAAACCCTAAACCTTTGATACGGTGAGGGGCTTGCATATACTCCTTGCTTTTTTATTTCTGTTGATCTACAGGAGGCGGCTATAAGGGCGACTATGGTTCAGGGTTTGGAGGTGAGGGTTTAGGGTTTAGGATTTAGAGGTGAAAGTTTAGGGTTTAGGGTTTAGGGTTTAGAGTAGGTCTTACATGTTCGCGCCAGGTTAAAGAAAGGCTTCCGGAAGGAAGCGAGGTGATGGGTGTCGTCGATCACCAGCAGCATTCTCCTGCAGCTGCTGCTGCTGTTGCTGCTGCTGCTGCTGCGATTGCGGCAGCAGCAAGAAGCAGCAAGTTTGCTGCGCCTTTCTGCATGCGCCTGCAGCAGCTCTGCCACGAGTAGTGGGGCTGTACGTCGCGCAGCTTTCCATCGAGATGGATCGAAAGAAGACGATCCCAGGGGAGACGATCCCAAGGGAGTCGATCCCAGGGGAGACGATCCCAGGGGAGTCGATCCCAGGGGAGACGATCCCAGGGCGCCTTTGCTTACGGTGGCATCTTCTGCCTTTTCCAGCGCGTCAACCTCCAACCAAACGACATCTAAACCCCACAGACCCTTGGGATCGTCTCCTCTGGGATCGTCTCCCCTGGGATCGTCTGCAGCAGCAGACGCGTCAGCTGCTGCTGCTGCAGCAGAAGCAACAACGGGCGTCCTAGCGGCTTTGTCTATTTCGTCTCGGTGCAGCAAATTCTCTCCTTTGGCTTCTGCTTGCTGCTGCGTCTGCTGCAGGGTCCCCAGCGACCCCTGGAGGCAGCAGCAGCTGGAGCAGCAGCAGCAGCAGCAGCAGCACGCAGCATCATTTTCTAACTTTTGTGCTGCTGCGTCTACTGGTGCGTCTTCTGTGGTGGTTGGTGCTGTTGTTGCTGCTGCTGCTGTTGCTGCTGTTGCTGCTGTTGCTGCTGCTGCAGCTAGTGAGTGTCTCCTCTGTCTGGGGAGACGAGAAGGGAGACAACTCAGCTTGGCTAGCTGAGCAGCTAGCGACGACTTCCCGCTGCCGGGGACCCCACACAGCAGCAGCAAACAGCAGTCAGAACCACCGCATGCACAGCACTCCAAAGGCCTCCTGCTGCTGTTGCTGCTGCTGCTGCTGCTCCTACTAGTGTTGTTGCTGATACTGCTATTACTGGCGCTGCTGCTGCTGTTACTACTGTTGCTGCTGCTACTGCTACTACTGCTGTTGTTGCTGTCGTTGTTGCTGTCGTTGTTGCCGCTGCTACAAATGTTGCTGCTGCTCCTGATATTGCTGCTGCTGCTGCTAGTGTTGCTGCAGCTCGAGGGCGACGAGGGATCAGATAGCGGCTTCAAATATCCCATTGAGAGCGCTGCTAGAGGCCCCCCCTGCTGGTGCCGCTGCTGCTGTTGCTGCTGCTGCTGTTGCTGCTGCTGCTGTTGCTGCTGTTGTTGCTGCCGCTGCTGCTGCTCATGTTGTTCCTCTGGCTAGGCTGTTTGTGTTAATGAAGGAAGAAAAGGCTTATGAAGGTGTGAAGCCCTCTTTGTTAAGAAAGCCCCCCCGTGAGCTTCTCCTAAAGCGAGGGTTTAGGGTTTAGGGTTTAGGGTTTAGGGTTTACAAGCCTTCAAAAACGCCATCTGCATCTTTTAAGGTTTATTTGCTGTTAGTAATTAAAAATAACTTCTTTTAATTAGTTTTTTTGTAATTTTACTCTAAGAAGCTGCACCAGCCCCGCTGGCAGGGCTTGTTGCATGCAGCAGCCTGCTGCTGCTGCGGCTGCTGCGGCTGCTGCTGCATGCTGCTGCTGCTGCATGCTGCTGCTGCAGTGTTAGATGTTGGCTGCTAAGGAGTTATAGAAAAATACATTTTTTGCTGTCAACGGGAACGTCAATCCCCTGCGTTGCTGCAGGAGGGGCTGAGACCTCTCAGCAGCAGCAGCAGCAGCAGCAGCAGAAGCAGCAAGTACAGCAGCAGCGGCAGCAGCAGCAGCAGGAATGCTAGCGGCAACACACCATGGCAACAGCCGAAGAAGGCGGGCCCAGTGACCCCGCGGGGCCCCCGGGGTTGGAGGCTCTCGAGGAGACGCAGCAGCAGCAGCAGCAGCAGCAGCAGCAGGAAGAAGAGCAGCAGGAGGAAGGCGAGGAGTCTGAGGAGCATGAAGGAGAAGAACATGAAGAGCAGCAAGAAGGGGAGGGTGAGCGTCCGCAGGATGATGAACAGCAGCAGCAGCAGCAGCAGCAGCAGCAGCAGCAGCAGCAGGATGACGACGAGCAGCTGCAGGCCTCCGATGGGGGAGCAGATCGCAAGAGCCGCAAGAAGCGAAGGAGACACCAGAAGGGGGACCGCAGCAGCAGCAGCAGCAGCAGGAAGAAGAAGAGAAGGCTAAAGGAGAAGAAGGCCTCCAGGAAGAAGCGCAGCAGCAAGAGGATGAGGCAGCAGCAGCAGCAGCAGCGAGGCAGCAGCGGCAGCAGCAGCGACGACAGCTCAGAAGAAGAAGACATTGAAGATGAGGAAGCAATATTAAGAGAAGAGATGAAGGGTTTTATTGTCTCCGAGGCGGAGAGCGACAGCAGCAGCAGCAGCAGCAGCAGCAGCAGCAGCAGCCAAGCCGATGATGAAGCACCTGCTCTAGATGAAGAAGACTTAGATCTAATAGCAGAAAATACAGGGCTGCTTGTAGATACTGGGGGCCCCTCTTCTCAGCAGCAGCAGCAGCAGCAGCAGCAGGGGGATACCGACACAGAGGATGGGGCGTTGCAGCAGCAGCAGCAGTTCCGGCGCCTAAAGAAGGCAGCAGCAACAACAACAGCAGCAGCAGCAGCAGAAAAGGAGACACGTCGCAGCGGAGTCAGCGGTAGTGAAGCAAATGCAGCAGCAGACACCAAGGGAGACAGTTTGTTTGCAGGCGAGGAAGAGACAGAAGATGAAGCAGAAGAAGCAGCAGCTTGGGAAGAAGAAGAAGAAGAAGCAGCAGCAGCAGCAGCAGCAGCAGCAGGGTCTTCCCAGCGGCTTGCTGATGTCTGGTCGCTTGTCTATGATTGCTTTGGAGACATCGATGCCGTCATTAACATCTTATGCGATAACAGGCAAACCCTAAACCCTAAACCCTAAACCCTAAACCCTACTGGCTAAGTCGCATGTCATAAACCCTAAACCCTTCACTCCAAACGCTAAACCCTACACCCCACACTCTAAACCCTAGAGTCTAAACCCTAAACCCTACGGTCTGCACCCTAAACCCTAGAGCCTAAACCCTAAACTCTAGAGTCTAAACCCTAAACCCTCAGTGAAGGCAGGTCTCTAAAGGAACAGCAATAAACTCTAATAAACGCCTAGAGGGATTGCGACCCGCAACCTAGGGTTTAGGGTTTAGGGTTTAGGGTTTATGAGTTTGTTCAGACCTCGGCCTCGAGGCGAGGCGGAGCTACGTCGGTCTGAGGAGCGTTTAGGGTTAGAGGATCGACGTGGTGCTGCAGCAGCAGCAGCAGCAGCAGCAGGGGGAGAGGCTGGCATGGCGGGAGCAGGAGCTGCCCCTGCAGCAGCAGCAGCAACAGCAGCAAAGAGCTGCTGGGAGAGGTTAGGAGAGCCTGATGAATTAGATGTGGGGCTGTCGACAGCAAGGGATGCAGCAATTGCTGCAGCAGATTTCCCTGAGAGACTTCAGCTCAGATTCGCAAACAGACCCAAGGCCTCGCAGGTGCTGCTGCTGCTGCTGCTGCTGGTTCTGCTGCTGCTGCTGCTGCTTGTTCTGCTGTGCTGCTGCTCCTGCTTTTGCTGCTACTGCTGCTGCTGGTTGTGCTGCTGCTGGTTCTGCTGCTTCAGCTGGTTCTGCTTGGTGTGCTGTTTGTGTTGCCGGTGTCGCTGCTGCTGCTTGTGGAGCTGTTGCTGCTGTTGCTGCTGTTGCTGCTTCTGGAGTTGCTGTTTCTGCTGCTGCTGCTGTTGCTGCTGTTGTCGGCTCAATCCTTTTCTTGCCGTAGCTGCTGCTGCGACCTCAGCGTTGGTTGATGCAGCCTCTTCACCTGCTGTTTCTGCTGCTTGTGCTGCTGCTGCTGCTGCTGCTGCTGCTGCTGCTGCTGCTTGGGGTGTACAGGCAGCACTTGCAGCGGAGTCTGTGTGGGTGTCACGGGTGCTGCTGTCTGAGTTTGCTGCTGACTTGTCTCTTGAAAATTTACTACAGCGATATGAAGATGCATTTGGAGGCTGCTGCTTGCTGCAGCGCCCCCCTGAGGTGGACGTACAGCAGAAGGTGCTGCTGCTGCTGCAGCTCCTGCTGCAGCAGGGATTTGAGGTTGTCTTTATCTTGCAGCAGCGCATGCATTTGCTGTCTCCTCCTCTAAATGAAGCAATGATATGGAGGGTTTTTGAATTAGATAGACAGTACTGGCGGCTACGAGCAGCAAAGGTAAAGCTGCTGCAGCTGGGCGTCACGCTGCAGCAGCAGCAGCAGCTGCAGGTGCAGCAAGGTGATGATGCTGCTGCTGCACAGACACCTGAAGGAATAAAAGAGATGCTTCAAAAAATGCTGAGAGACGCAGAGACAGAACAAGATATCGATGATGTACGTGTACATGTCTTAACCTACTTCCACCCCCAGCTTGCTGCTGCTGCTGCTGCTGCTAAGCAGAAGCGCAACGGAGACTTGAAGACACTGGATGCAGACGAGCAGCAGCAGCTGCTGCAGCATAACTCGTCAGAGGGCGAGCTGCAGCATGATGAGCTCCAGCAAGAAGAACTGCAGCAGCAGCAACTGCTGCAGCAGGAGGAGCCGCAGCAGCAGGAAGACGAAACCTTCCTGCAGCAGCAGCAACAGCAGCAGGAGGAGGAGCAGCAGCAGCAGCAGTACGAACAGCAGACTGCTCAGGAAGCTTCAGGAAGCGAGCCTCAGCAAATACCCCACGGCAGCAGCAGCAACAGCAGCAGCAGCAACGGAGATGATAACGTGTGGGCTGCCACCCAGGACGGCCCAGCAGCAGCAGCAGCAGCAGCAGCAGCAGCAGAAGATGCTCCCCTCTGCTCCGTTCCCTTCGACCCTCTGAAGGGAGAAGCTGCTGCTGCTGGACACTGGCAGCAGCAGCAGCAGCAGCAGCAAAGTGTAGGCGAGCAGAAGCTTTCCGCAGATCAGCAGCACGTGCTGCGGGACCTGCAGCAGCTGTACCTTCAGCAAGGAGACGAGCAGCCACAGCAGGAGGAGCTGCTGCTGCAGCAGCAAGAGCAGCTGCAGCAGCAGCAGCAGCAGCTAGACCTGGAGGAGCCCCTAGGGGGCTCGCAGCTCTTCCAACATGAAGAAGTGCTGCAGCAGCAGCCTCCAGAAGCAGACGCAGCAGAAGCAGCTGAAGCTGCAGTGCAGCAGCCAGACGCAGCAGCAGCAGCAGTTGCGCCCCTTGATGATGCTGCTGCTGCCGCTGCTGCTGTGCAGCACGCAGCAGCAGCAGCAGCTGCCGCGGCCCAGGCAGCAGAAACAAACGATGATGCAGCCACAGGGCAATCGGACTCAGCAGCAGCTGCTGCTACAGCATCAGCAACTGAAGCAGCAGCCACTGCTGCAGGAGCAGCAACTGAAGCAGCAGCAGCAGCAACAGAGGCAGCAGTAGTAGCAACAGAAGCAGCAGCGGCAGCAACAGAAGCAGCAGCACTACCAGATGCAGCAGCAGCCAATGAAGGAACAGCGGCAGCAGAGACAACAGCAGCAGCACAAGCAACAGAAGCAGCAGAAGCAGCAGAAGCAACAACAGCAACACAAACTTCTCCTGCAGCAACAGCCACGTCTTCCTCACGGCCGCATGCATCTAAGTGGGATCAGCCGCCACCGCAGCAGCAGCAGCAGCAGCAGCAGCAGCAGCAGCAGCAGCAAGACGGGGGCGCTCAGTCAAGGGAGCCTGACAGCAGCGGCGGCGGCGACAGCAGCAGCAGCAGCAGCAGCACGACAGCAGGGACTTCGAGGCCCTTTTCTTCTCGCTGGGGGCAGCGCGAGCCGAGGCCAGCAGCAGCAGCAGCAACAAAGAAGAAAGGGTTATCTGCAGCAGCAGTAGCAGCAGCAGCAGCAGAAGAGTATTTCGGCGTATCTGTATCCCAAGAGCCGCCGGCAGATGCAGCAGCAGCAGCGGCAGCAAGCGCGGAGCAAACCGCAGCAGCAACGCAGCCGGCAACAGCAGCAACAGCAGCAAAGACGCGGTCTCCACGGGGTTTATCTGCTGCAGCAGTGGCAGCAGCAGCAGCAGCAGAGTATTTCGGTGATGGTTTTTCGCAAGACAGCCAAATGGACGTAGACGGGCGCCCCAGCAGCAGCAGCAGCAGCTACAGCAGCAGCAGCTACAGCAGCAGCAGCTACAGCAGCAGCAGCAGCAGCAGCAGCAGCAGTAGCAGGGCACGGAGCTCTTTCGGAATGAAGAGAGGGTTTGGAGGTGCGTTTGAATTAACTCAAGAGCAGCTTGCTGCAGCAGCAAAAGAGGAGGAGGAGCTGCAGCAGCTGCTGACAGCAGCACAAGAAGAAGAATGGAACGACGCAGCAGCAGCAGTTGCTGCAGCAGCAGCAGCAAACAAACCCCTCTCAGCCAAGGAGATTTCTCCAGCAGACGCAATCGAGGTACTCCCCAATGCTGCTGCTGTTGCTGCTGCTGCTGCTGCGGCTGCTGCTGCTGCTGTTGTTGCTGCTGTTGCTGCTGCTGTTGTTGCTGCTATTGTTGTTGTTGTTGCTGCTGCCGGCGGTGGGTATAGGGTGCTGTTGCCGCTGCTGCTGCTGCTGCTGTCTGGTTTGCTGCTGCTGTTGTGTGGCGTAGTTTGCTGCTGCTGCTGGAGTTTGCTGCTGTTTGTTGCTTTTAGCTGCAGCAGCAGCATTTGTTTGTTTTGCTTGTGCTGCAGCTCGCTCATCGCTACAACTTAGCTGAAGTGCTGCGTCCCTTCTTATTAGATGCTGCTGCTTTTATTGAGAATTTAAACTGTCTCTGCTTTAACTCTGAGTCCCCTCTGCTGCCAGGGCCTCATTTGCTGCTGCCTCAGCAGCCGCAGTCTCCTCCTCCTTTGATACCGTTGGTATCTGAGGCGGAAGCAGCAGCAGCAGCAGCAGGTGCAGCAGCAGCAGCAGCAGCAGCAGCAGGAGCAGCAGCAGCAGCAACAGCAGCAGAGCTGCAGCTAGAGCTCTCTGCTGCAGCATGGGCGTCGCAGTGGCTGAGCGGCCCCTTCTCTTCAGGGTCTCAGGTGCTGTCTCTGCTGCTACAAAACGAGGTTAAGCGTTTATTTAATAATTTTAAACTACGGAGATTGCTGCGGACAAAAGTGCTGTCCCTGCTCTCTGTCTCCTTTATTACAACTCCACAAGGAGAAGCAAATACAGACCCTGCTAAACCCTGTTGGATAGCTCGCAGGCTTTGGCGTTTACCTGCAAACAAATTCATACAGGAGGCCAGTCATAAACCCTAAACCCTAAACCCTAAACCCTAAACCCTAAACCCTAGGGGTTGCAGCCAGCAGGCCTTCTCCACCTGTCTCCTTCCTCTTCTTCGCTGCTTTTTAAACCAATTCAAAAGAAACATTTGCTGTCAATCTAGTGCTGTTTAGGGTCTAGGGTTTAGGGTTTAGGGTTTAGGGTTTAGGGTTTGCGGGTGCGCAGATGCTGCCGGAGTTCACAGAGAAGCCTTCGTGGGTCCCTTGGCATGAGAGGGTGAGGCGATCACAGCAGCAGCAGCAGCAGCAGCAGCAGCAGCAGCACCTGCTGCAGCAAGACCCGCTGCATAGGCCGAAGCGTCTGCGCGGTATTTTTGACAGCAGAAGAGACAACCCCGTTGGCTCTCTCTTTCTCCAGGTAAACCCTAAACCCTAAACCCTAGCCCCCATAAACCCTAAACCCTAACTCCGCTAAACCCTAAACCCTAGCTATCTCCGTTAAACTCTAAACCCTAAACCCTTGCGCTGCTAGCGAATTCTCGCGTGTTGGGGGCTCGGAAGACCTACGAGGCCCTGTGCGCCTCCTCCTCATGCTGCTGCTGTTGCTGCTGCTGCTGCTGCTGCTGCTGCTGCAGATTCAGCAGCTGGAGAAGCAAGGAGAGGGGGTTCTTGTGCTGCACCCTTTGGCTGGGGAGACGGCACCTTGGAGACAGAAAGAGTTTCTAAAGAGACACGCAGATGCGCTGCAGGAGCAGAAGCTGCTGCGGGTAGGTAGTGCTGCAGCAGGCAGCAGCAGCAGCAGCAGCAGCTACATGCGAGAGCTGCAGCAGCAAAAGGAGTTTCTCGATAGCGAGCAGCAAAAGTTTGAAGAGGCAGAGAGACAAGACCAGCAGCAAATAGAGACACTCCTGACGCAGATGCTGCATGCATACTCTCCTTTTGCTGCTGCCCTCACCACCAACAGCAGCAGCAGCAGCAGCAGCAGCAGCGGCGGCGGCGGCGTCAGCATAAACCGCAGCGCAGGGGACGAACTTGTTGCTGCTGCCCCTTGGGTGTACATACAGCGTATGATTCTAACGCGGCTGCTGCTGCATGAAGTGCTGCCTGCAGCAAAGAGAGAAATAAAAAATAAATTAATTACGCTGTCACAAGAAGCAGTGCTTAGAGATTGTCAGGATATGTTAGACTTTAAACTAAGCCTGCAGCCGCTGCGGCTGTCTCCTCAGCAGCAGCAGCAGCGGCAGCAGCAACTCATTGATGGGCGCAACAGCAGCAGCGACAGCAGCAGCAGCGACAGCAGCAGCAGCAGCGAATCGGAGGCTCCGGATTCTGCTGCAGTGTCTCCTTCTCAGAGGCGAAGAAAGAGACAGCAGCAGCGACAGAGACAGCAACAGCGGCAGCAGAGACTAGCAGCAGATCCTGCTGCTCTTGATTGTCTCTCTCTTGTAGTTCAGCACCTCCCTTTAGATAAGAGAGGCCGCAGCAGCAGCGCAGCAACAGCAGCACGTGTGCATGCAGTGCTGCTGAACTCCTTCGGGGAAGTAGAGACACACGAATGCTTCGATCTCCTTTTAAATACCCGTCTACCAGACGACCCGCAGCAGCAGCAGCAGCAGCAGCAGCAGCAGCAAGGAGGGGGAGAGCTTGCATCTGCTGCATCTCAGCAGCAGCAGCAGCAAGGCTTAACTCGAGATCAGCAGCTGGCGCAGCAAGAAGTCCAGCGGCTGCTTCGTTTGTTTCGAACCCGCTACGTGGATGCTGTTGTCGTAGGCGTAAGAGACAGACAGAGTTTGCTGCTGCAGCAGATCTTGAAGCAGCATGTGCTGCAGCAGCTAGCAGCAATTCATAAACCTTTTGCTTTTATTCTTGCTCCTCTCGATATACCTTCGGTTTGGAGCGGCAGCGATAGGGTGCCCGCAACCCTCAGACGCACTATGCCTAGAGAAGCCCTCATGGTAATCTGCTGCTGCTGCTGCTGCTGCTGCTGCTGCTCGTGCTGCTGCTGCTGCTGCTGCGGCTCGTGCTGTTGATGGTGGTGGTGGTGGTGCTGCTGCTGCTCGTGCTGCTGATGGTGGTGGTGCTGCTGCTCGTGCTGCTGCTGCTGCTGCCGCTGCTCATGCTGGTGGTTGTGGTGGTGGTGCTGCTGCTGCTGCTCGTGCTGCTGCTGCTGCTGCTGCTGCTCGTCCTGGTGCAGCTGCTGCTGCTGCTCGTGCTTCTGATGGTGGTGCTGCTGATGGTGATGGTGCTGGTGGTGATGCTACTGCTGCTGCTGCTGACTTGATCGGCTGCTGCTTCTTGCTGCTGCTGTTGCTGCTGCTGCTGTTGCTGCTGCTGTCGTCTCTGCTCGCAGTGCTCTGTGTGTAGGGCGTCCCCTCCTTTTTAATTTAAAATTTGTTTATTTGTTTTTAATCGTTTGATATACCTCCTACTGTCTCCTTTACTGTCTCCTTATGGTTAATATATCTGTTTCTTTTTCTGCTGTCTCTTGCTGCTGCTGCTGTCTCCTTTTGCTGCTGCTGTCTCCTTTTGCTGCAGGCTCTGTCTCTCGCTCGCTTCGTTCAAGACCCTCTGGCTGAAGCAGCAACTCTGTGGGGAGAGGGCTCAGATAATTTGCTGCTGCAGCTGCGTCTTCATCCCTTACAGAACGCCGTAAACCCTAAACCCTAAACCCTAAACCCTTTTATTCACCTCCACAATCACCAGCATCCACACCGCCCACTCCTGCCTTCGGCTTCTGCTGCTGCTGCTGCTGCTGCTGGCGTTGCTTCTGCTGTTGCTGCTGCTGCTGCCGTTGCTGCTACTCTTGCTGCGGCTGCTGCTGCTGCTGTTGCTGGCTGTGGAGCGTATGCATGGAGGCGCGGTTTGCATTGGCTGCTGCTGCTGCTGCTGCTGCTGCTGTTTGGGGTGTACGTACACCGCAGCTACCACGAGATCGGCTTGCTGCTGCATGCGAAGTTGTGATGCTGCGGCTGGTTGGGGATTGCGGCGTTGACCTGCGACGCTGCTTGCGGCTGCACAGCAGCAGCAGCAGCAGCAGCAGCAGCAGCAGAGCAGCAGCTGTTCTACAGTTCGTTCCAGGGCTCGGACCCCGCAAAGCAGAACGCCTGCTTAACCTCCTCAAATCATCAACCCTTGTTGTAAACCCTAAACCCTAAACCCTAAACCCTAAGACTCTAATAACCTCCTCAAGTCCTCAACCCTTGTCGTAAACCCTAGACCCTAAACCCTAAGAGTTTAATAACCTCCTCAAATGTGTATAGTGTATAATGCATGGTTTAGCCTCTAGTATTTGATGTTCCGTGAGCAATATTTAGGGTATTAGGGTTTAGGGTTTAGGGTTTAAGGTTTAGGGTTTAGGGTTTAGTGTTTAGGGTTTAGGGTTTGGTTGCAGATGAAGTCTCAGCTGTGCATGGGTGAAGACAGCGAGGAGTCAGAGGCTGAGTCTCCGCGCTCAGTATTAGGAGAACGAAGAAGCAGCAAGGGTTTAGGGTTTAGGGTTTTCTCAAACTGTGTTTCGTTTCTGAATCTAAGAGCAGAGACAGCAGCAGCAGAGACAGATACACTTGATGGTGAGGGCTTGCTGCTGCTGCTGTTCTTTTATTTCTTTATTTATTTATTTATTTATTTATTTATTTATTTATTTGTTTATTTATTTACATCTTTATTTGTTTATCTGTTTATTTGTTTATATCTTTCTTTCCTTCTTTGCCCTTTGTTTATTTATTTATTTGTTTATTTATTTATTTATTTATTTATTTATTTGTTTGTTTGTTTATTTTTTTATATCTTTAGTCTGTCTCTTTCTCTGTCTCTGTCTCCGTCTGTCTGTCTCCGTCTGTCTTCTTCTTTGCTTCTGTCTTGCTTCGTCTCTCTGTCTCATTTATTTATTTATTTATTTATTTATTTATTTATTGTCTTTACTTCTTTCTTTGTTTATCTCTTTATCTCTCTGTCTCTTTACCCCTTTATTTATTTATATCTTTTATTTATTTATTTATTATTTATTTATTTGTGCTTCTGTCTCCTTGGAGAGACAAACAAAGAAATACAAACAAACAGACAGCAGCCCTTTTAATAGAGACACCTCATACCCCAAGCAAGCAAGCAGCAGCAGCAGCAGCAGCAGCAGCAGTAGGAGCAACAGCAGCAGCATCATCAGCATCAACAGCAGCAGCATCAGCAGCAACAGCAACAGCAGCAAGATCAGCATCATCAACATCAACAGCAGCAGCAGCAGCAGCACTAACAGCAGCAGCAGCAAGATGTTGTGTGTTTATGTGCAGCTCTAGATTCTACTCGCGTACACCCCACAGACATCAGCAATTCAAACAGCTGGTTGCCTCGTCTCTGCCGCGCTGCAATAGAGACACGAAGAGGAGACAAAAAGGAGACAGCAGCAGAAGAGACAGAAGAAGAAGCCGTCGCTGAAGTACTCAAGTACGCCCTACCCTCTAGGGTTTAGGGTTTAGGGTTTAGGGTCTAGGGATAGGGCTTAAGGGTTTAGGGTTTAGGGTTTAGGGTTTAGGGTTTAGGGTTTAGGGTTTAGGGTTTTGGCCGAGACGGCGATGGACGTCTCCACAGCTCACGCCTCTCAGGCGGAACGCTTGGGGTTTAGGGTTTAGGGTTTAGGGTTTAGGGTTTAGGGTTTAGGGTTTGCGTGCAGGGACCCGTCTCTGTTGGATGGGGTTAATTTGAAGGAGTTTGCTGCTTCATTTAAGAACGAAGCAGACGCCGACAGAATTCTGTACGCAGACAAAAGGAGACAGCTTATATTTATTTAAAAGGAGACAGTTTATATTTAGTTAAAAGGAGACAGCTAAAATATCAAAGGAGGCACTATATAAATAAATGGAGACAGTTTATATTTAATAGGAGACAGTTAAGACAAAAGGAGACAGTAAAGACAAAAGGAGACAGTAAAGACAAAAGGAGACAGCTAAGATATGAAGGGAGACAGTTTATAAATACAAGGAGACGCTTATATAGAGGTAGTAAATAATATATTTAATATATTTTATATAATATATCTATCGTATACTATATATTTTATACAGTGTATGCAGTATATACTATATAAAGCAAACAACATAATAAATATATAAATATAAATATATATATATAAATATATAAATGTATATATATAACATACTAAATATAAAAAACAAAAATATAAATATATAAATATATATATATATATAACATAATAACTATAAAAATATAAATAAAAAATAAACATATAAATATAAATATATATATATATATATATTTATATATTTATTTATATATTTATTTATATATTTATTTATATATTTATTTATATATTTATATTTATATTTATATTTATATTTTTTTGTGTTTGTCTTCAGCCCTCACTTACAATTTTTGCGCGGGGAGATGCGTACAGCATTTTATGACAGTCGCGACATATTTACTTCTTTAAGCGACATGGAAGTATTTTATGCTGCAAGCGGCGAGCAAGAAGAAGAGATACAAGAGGGTAGTGCTGTTGCATGTCATGTGGTCTATGCAGCAGGCGTTCGGGTGTATGCTCAGCTTCTGCCCTCTGAAGTAGCTGTCTCCTTTGCGGATCTAAGAGAAATACGGTCTCTTCTCGCTTTAAAACAAAAAGTTACCGCACCAGAACAAGAAGATCTCTCTCCACTAGTTGGTTAGCTTCTGCTGCTGCTGCTGCTGCTGCTGCTGCCGTTGCTGCTGCTGCTGCTGCCGTTGCTGCTGCTGCTCCTGCTGCTGCTGCTGCTGCTCCTGCTGCTCCTGCAGCTCCTGCTGCTCCTGCTGCTGCTGCTGCTGCTGCTCCTGCAGCTCCTGCTGCTGCTGCTCCTGCTGCTGCTGCTGGTACTGCTGCTGCTACTGTTGATGCGGCTGGTGCTGGTGCTGTTGACGTTGCTGCTGCTGCTCCTGCAGCTCCTGCTGCTCCTGCTCCTGCTGCTGCTGCTAGTACTGCTGCTGCTACTGTTGATGCGGCTGGTGCTGGTGCTGTTGCTGCTGGGGTTGGTGTTGCGGCTGTTGTTTCTGCTGCTGTTACTGCTGTTGCTGTTGCTGCTGGTGTTGCTGCTGCTTTTATTGTTGTTGCTGCTGTTGCAGGGGGTGCGTATACGTTTGCAGTTGAGTAAAGGATAATAATTTATATTTGTTTTTTCTGTATTTGTTTGTTTGTTTATTTAGGAGAAGTGCTTCCTGGACGTGTATTAAGGGTTTTATATGATGCTGAGCTGCATAGGGGCTTCCCGTCCTTTAGAGTTTTATGTGTCTGTACACTGCAAGCTGTACGTCATGTGTTGTCTCTTCTTTGCGCAAACTCTCTTCCTAAGAGAGCTTTTGCTTCTTTTATCTCTCCCGCTGCTGCTTGCGATCTTCTAGGCGTCAGAAGAACCCTTAAACTGTACATACACCCCAAACCCTAAACCCTAAACCCTAAACCCTAAACCCTAACCCTTCAGCCATCAAGGCGTCCTACGGGGCTCCAAACCCTAAACCCTAGACCCTAAACTCCAAACCACCCACACACCGCCAGAGGCCAAATGAGTCAACCATCCACAGTTTAGGGTTTAGGGTTTAGGGTTTAGGGTTTAGGGTTTGTTGCTGCAGCGAGCGGGAAGAAGCGCTGACGAATCAGCAGACGCAGCAGCTGCTGCGACACCGCCAAATTCGCCACCCTAATTTTAAACTCATCTCTCATAAAAGGGCGCTGCAGCTGCTGCAGGACCCTTCGGTATGTCCTGCTGCTGCTGCTGCTGTTACCGATGCTGCTGCTGCTGTTACCGATGCTGCTGCTGGTGTTGCTGGCGCTGTTGCTTGTGTTGCTGCTGCTGCTGCTGTGCAGCGCTTATTGCTGTTACTGCCGTGCAGTTTGCTGCTGTTGTTGCTGCCGTTTTTATGTGTTGTCTCTGTCTCTTTCTTGTGTTGTTGTTTCGTAAGGGGGCTGCTGCTGCTTCCTCACCTAAACTTTAAACTCAAGGGTTTAGGGTTTAGGGTTTAGGGTTTAGGGTTTGTGGTTTAGGTGCCGGTGGGTGAGGCATTGTTTCGTCCTGGGGGCAGCCGCGATGGTTTTGTGTTGATGTTGAAGAGCTGCGGAGTCCCCTTCCGCGCACTTTGTCTTCATGTAGAGGAGACAGCAGCAGCAGCAGCACCTGGATCAGCAGCAGCAGCAGCAGGAGCACCTGGAGCAGCAGCAGCACCAGCAACAAGGGAGTTGGTGCTGCTTGGCAGCACTTACGATTCTTTTGATCAAATTATCGCAGTATTCTGCGAGCCCCTTCGCATCAATTTAGAAGAACTCGCGAGACACCCTGTACAACCTCAGTCTGCTGCTGCTGCTGTTGCTGCTGTTGCTGCTGCTCCTGCTGTTGCTCCTTGTGCTGCTGCTGTTGTTAGCGCTGCTGCTGATGCTAGTGCTGCTGCTATGTTGCTTGTGGTGTTGCTGCTAGTGCGCTGCTGCTGCTAGGCTTGCTGCTGCTGCTAGTGCTGCTGCTGCTGCTGCTGCTGCTGCTGGAGTGTGCCAATCTGTCATACAGCCAGCACCTGAATCTCTTCTAGCAGCAGTATTCGCAGCAACAGCACAGCAGCATCACCAGCAGCAGCATCAGCATCAGCTCTATCAACCTCTGCATTATATATACATATATATATATATATATATATATTTATTGATTTATATATTTATTTGTTTATGTTTTGCTGCTTGAATCAGAAATATCGAGCGACGGACTTCTCAACAGCACTACGTGAATTACAGAAAGAAGCAGCAGCAAACCCGGGGTGTATCTCATGGTGTATATTACCTCCTTCTTCGCATGCAGGAAATGCAGCAGAAGAAGATAGTCAAAGGGGGCCCCCAGGGGGCCCCACAGCCTCTGGGGGCCCCTACGATAGATGGGGGGGCCCCCAAGATAGGGGGGGGGGCCCCCAAGATAGGGGAGGGGGCCCCCAATTGAATATGAAGGGGGGTGGTGTTCGTAAGGAGAATCCTCTTCGTTTTCATTTATTAGTTGTGCCTCCAAGACAGGATGAAAGGAGTCAAAAAGATTTGTTTCTTAATGACGGTATTTATGTTGATAAGGCAGGATTTGTCTTGTGGGGACATCGCGAAACTTCTCTCAGAAACCTCATCGCTTGGTGGAAGGAAAAGGGATATTGGAATGTAAGTCTAATATTATATATAATATAATATAATATAGTATAATATAATATAATATATATAATATAATATAATATAATATAATATATATATAATATAATA